GCACACCAGGGTGTCGGCTCTGGATGGCGTAAAACAGGGTATCGAGGAACGTCGGAGATTGCTGAAGGCTGCTGAAGACGAAAAGAAGAAAGCTTTGACTAACAGTCAAGTATGAGAAGTGGATAGTCGTACCCTGTGAATCGATACGTTACCTCCATACACATTAGAGCATTTAGGATGGATTGGAATCTATGTTGAAGTTATTCGCAACTACTTGCTTCCGACGTTTGGCCGACGGGTTCGTTTGGAGTCACAGCTCGAGTTCAGTATACGTCGATGACCCACACTATTCTGCACCTTGCTGTGATGATAATTCTCGAGAGCTTGACCATATTCCAATCAACTTGATCTTCGCAAATCAGCAATCAGCAACGCTTTACAGATGACGAATATATCACGACGAATATAAACATCGGTGATATCGAGACTCCTTCAAACCCATCTGACATTCATAATGCTTCTCTTTACCCCGGAAGTTTGCTCCCATGCCGTTTCTACTTTCCCGGCTGCATGACCAGACCGTCCTCCTTCCACCGCCTCAACAAACTCCGAGACGCCTCCCCCTACTCCAAAGTACACGAGCTTGGCGGCAACAAGACATGTGTACTCCAGAGGCGGAGAAGATAGTGTTAGAGCCAATGTCGACTTGACGAGATCTGTCTCTGCATCCCGCTCATTCTCTGCACCTACGCTAGCCCTCCGCAAGAGTTGTATCAGGGAAGGCAGACTCTCTATCCGGTAGATCGTCTCAGAGGTCAAGACAAGCCCATACTTTCCGCCGGTATGGGAGATATCGAAGGTATCCCATGAACCTGTGAAAAGCCGGATTTGAATACGCCGCTGCTTCAGGGAGTCCAGGAAGGCTGCAATGAGTGCCGGTGAGACGGGCAGATCACCAGATATCGTAGGATCAGGTGGAGGTAGAGGATCGTCGTCCTGATCCTGTCCGTCCTGATTTTCCGCCGTACTGCGTCTGAAAGCTTCAGATGCAGGAGACATATCTGCAAGCGTGTGTTAGCATACCAAATTGTCAAAGCAATCACTCAAACTTACACCACGTCAGAATCAAATTCGGAACAGTAACCAGACGAAAGACAAGATCGTTATAATCTTGCAAGTGAATGTCGATATCTGCTTGTGGTGGAGACTGTGATGACAGTAAAGTTTGAAGCAGATACAACGAAGGCACCGCCGTTCCACATCCTAACTGCAGCAGAAATTCAGTGTTTGATTCAACATCCTGCACTGAACATCCTCACCTCAAGTATTCTTGTTAGATTCAGCTTTCCTTGAGACTGCAAGCCATGCAGGAAGGCCGCCAAATCAAGGCTGCATTCCCAAGTTTTCAGACCACCTTCGTATACGCCAGAGACCAGATCGGACGGAGCCTCAAGAAAGTCGAGTTCAGTGGGCTCCTCAGCCGACGATACTCCTGTGCTGGATGTACCCTCATGCTGGTCTTGTGAGATCACCTCGAACCGAGCATCATATAGATCTCGCCGAGCAACCGTTGATATTGACCCATCCGACAACGGAAAAGATAATGGAGAGTAAGATATGACGGATGGTAATCTTTTCGTCTGGAATGCTTGAAGGTCAGTAGGCGGACTACGAGAGAGATTGACAAAGACAGCCCACAAGATCTATGAGGTCAATCTCTTTGAAAGGTTTGAGAGGTGCCTGAGACGAAGCAGCGACGGAGGTGACGTCTTGTCTGCTCTGGTCTCCATCTTGAGCCAAATCTTCGTCGATGTCTTGCTCGTCCAAGTCGAAGTTGAATTTGAACATCGCGCAGGAGGCGAAGGCAAGACGAGCAAAACTTCGCGTGGTTACTCGTGACGATCCGTGACGGACGCGTACGGTCACGCCTGAATTATGAGGTAGGTATCATGCCAGATGCAGTGAAGATAAAACCACCCAACGAAGACTCCGAGTCCTCTGTCCACTAGTCAATCTGATTTTTAGGAAAACAGTAACATGATGTGTTCCGTGTTATGTATCTCGTCATAAGAGAGCATTCATGCGCCAAGGTACAGAGACTCATCGTACACCACCTCATCCTAAGCTCCAGATCACATCCATCATGATACTCTTGCAACTTCGATCCGTCGGAAGCAAGCCAGCCATTTATCGCCAGCATTCCGTTCCACCTTTTTGCCCTCCTCCGTGCTGCTGTATACAGCGTCCAAGATCGGCCCTTTTCCCTCTTCCCTCAAAGCCTCCTCGCTCACATACTCGAACAAGGGGAATTCCTCCAAGTGCGTTTTCATCCATTCGTGCAAGTCTTTCACGTCCGTGATCGTGTACACGATCCCGCCTGGACGAAGGATATAGGCGTATTCGGCGAGCAATGTAGGCGATATGATGCGAGCTTTGTGTTTGCGTGACTTGAAGTGCGGGTCGGGAAAGAGGAAGAAGAGGGCAGAGAGGGAGTGCTTCGGGAAATAATTGGGCATGAACTTCATACTGTTTGCGCGGACAATTGAGACGTTCTGATACGGTCCTGGGTCAGTAGACCCCTCCGGTGCAGCATTCGTCGCGCGGAGTGCAGTGATCCGGTCTTGTACGTATTGAGATACTTGGACACGAATCTCCATGCCTGATAATATTAGAAGTGAGCTTTCGACTCTTGTTGTGAGGGAATGGATGGCGCACCAAGTAACAGCTTGTCCGGGAACATGGGCGCAAGCGCAATCAACAGGCCTCCAAAACCACATCCAACATCCGCGAACTCGGGAGTCTTGGCCGATCCAGCAAACGCTGGGTAATGAGAGTCCCAATCCATGGTTTCTGGGGAAGCGGGGTACACGAGAGCATGGTCTGAGAATGGGTTCGCATGGGCTCTTTGCCTGTAGTGACGTTTCTAGCCCTGATATGAAGTCTGTATCGTCTCTGACCGATGGAAATGGGAGACATACCTGAGGAAGTAGCGTCTTCGGCTGTTCCTTGGCAGGCTTTTTGCCAGAGCCAGAGCGTTTCCGTTTGGGCATTGTGGCAGAGTCTGTACGGATGAGAGGAAGAGGAAGGTTTGAGTGACTCGAGAGGGTTTGAGCTGGAAAATGGGCAGATCTTGGCTAGATCTCCGATTTTACATTCGGCAGTTGCCGTAGCTTCTCGGATCGGCAAACAAATCTTCCAGCTTCCAGCCTCGTCAGTGCCATCTCACGATCCTTGGTTTTGACTTGCGTCGGTCATGCAGTACAGTACCATGGCACTCACACCTCGCGGTCAAACTACCAGTTCTTCACAGAATTCTCTTGTAACAGACTACAAATATACAGCGGTAAGTCAAACTTGTTCACTTGAAAAAGCCAAATGGCCCAGTGATCACTGAAGTTGGTCTCTTTAGACGACCTTGGACATGTCTAGGAGCGATGTGTTTGTCCTGTTATTGCAGCGACATGATGCAGAGGGATGATCAGCACAATCGTTTGAGCTTCAGACGATGACGACACCCGAATCGACTTCCCACCCGGCTACCGCATAGTATGTGCGGGGTTCCGCCACTACAGACGTCTCGCTGGCGTCAGGTGTCCCGACGAAGTACCATTCCGCTCCAGGGTTGACCAAGCGGTGTTCAGAATACTTTCCTCACGTAGAGTGATGAATCTGAAGCCGACGTGACTGCCTACGATGAGTCGCTCAGTCAGAAGCCCAGACAAGATGAACCAGTGTCACTAGTGCGCTAGTAGAACACGGTACGTACATTCTGCCTCGATGACGGTCTGCTGCTTCCACGTCTGAGCTCACTGCGCATGAATAAGCAGCCACTGACACCATCTCATAATCTCATAGCGAACTTGCTAATTCCTTGCGACCGGAGATGGAAGAATTTCTACGCTGAGCCGTATAAAACGACTATTCTCCGCTGTTCTTTCTTCAAGTTATCTTCAACTTTCGCGCAGATACCAAGTCCTCAAATACATTCAGAACAGCAACTATGTCTCACGGTAAACATTTTACCTTTTACACCAATAAAGTGATGCCCAACGGCTGGTAAGCAATTTTCTCTACCCCCAAGACCTTACTGTGCTTACGGCCACCTACAGGAAGGTCGCGTTCGTCCTGAATGTCCTGGGGCTATCGTATGAATCTATCTACCTCGAGAAAGCAGATATCAAGGGACCTGAACACATCAAGCATAATCCTAACGGACGCATTCCGACGCTCATTGACCACAAGAACGATGATTTCACCATTTGGTATGTAAGGGCCTGTCATGCTCGAGTCTGAGTGGACTCTGACCAGAAAGTGTTTCAGGGAGTCGGGTGCCATTCTGCTGTATCTGATTGATACTTACGATACCGAGCACAAGATCTCCGTCGCAGACTCTAGGGAGAAGGCCCTTCTTCATCAGTGGCTATTTTTCCAAACCACTGGTCAAGGGTGCGATTCCCACCTTTTTCCAGTCACCGTCCGCTAATAGGCGAACTGCATTTCAGTCCGTACTTTGGTCAGAGCAGCTGGTTTCAGCACTTCCACCCCGAGACGCTTCCTTCCGCCATTGTGCGCTACCAGAACGAAGCTCGTCGCGTCCTCGGAGTCCTCGAATCTGTGTTGAGCAAGCAGGAGTACCTCGTTGGCGGAAAGCTCACCATCGCCGACATCGCTTTCGTCTCATACAATAACGTCATCAAGTTCGTTATCGAAGAGGATTTCGACTTCGAAGGGGAATTTCCCAAGACCTTCGAGTAAGCGATTTCGCTTTGAACGATCACACCTAATGTACTGACGACTTTTCTAGATGGCACACTAGAGTTACCGCAGTTGACGGAGTCAGGAAAGGTTTGGAAGAACGTCTCAAGTTGATCACGGAGGAGACGAAAGTTCAGAAGTCATCATTGTCGTAGGACCTCCACCCGACAGGCTTACATCTAGTGTGCAGCGACTTGACATTTGGACCTCACCGTTACGTCTGGCCAGTAGTACTGGTTTCCCCCGCTTGCCACCGTGGTTGCAGCTTCGTCAAGTTTGAAGCTACTCACCGCGCATTTTTGCATGCATTAATGGGGTAGTGGTAACCTGGGTCGTTGCCACATTGCGCGGTTCGACCCGCCGGGGGTTCGATTCCCCCTTAATGCACTACAATGGTGCCGACTGCGCTTCTTTTTTTGAAACTTTTTCGGGCACGATTTTCCTCCTCTCCGAAGTCGGCCAGGACGACTACATTTCACAAAGATATCTGATTCTGAACCCCAAGCTTTCCTTTCGGCCTTATACGAGCACTACCTACACTTCGATTAGGGTATCATTTAACGAGGTATTGGGACGTGAACAAAGGTATGAAAGTAAGGAAGAAGCGTGAGCGTGAGCATCCATCATTCTTCTCGAACAGTAGCTACCCTCTCCACAGAGTACCGAACCAACGAGCTTTACGTTCACGACCAGCGCAACGCAAAATCATAAGGCACGACATGCTGTGATTCGGGCATGTACGCATCCGCCGCCTCTGCCTCTGCCTCCGAATGCAATATATGCTGCAACCCCGCATCCTGGTGGTACTTATGCAGCGCGTGGCGTTTCCACGTCTGCCAATCCCTTTCGCCCTTGTACCCGGGCAGTACGCCACACAGCGCCGTGAACGTCTGCGCAAACATCTTCCGGTCGGGTATGTCGCAACCGATGCAGTGGGTGATGCGATGCTCGATCCGGCCGTTGCGGACGTACCCCGCCAGCTCGTGTGCCCCTTTGCTGTCGAGGATCTCGGCGAAGTCGACCTCGTCTGGCCCGAGAGAGTTGTCCCCGTTGTGGTAGTCGACGGTGGAGACGAGACACAGTGGCGCGCTGAAGGCTTCCGCTTTCGGACACGCTTGTGCCCACTCCCAGTCGATGATGCCGGTTAGGTTCCAGTCGTCGTCGACGAGGAGGTGGTCGCCCTTGTCGTCCATATGTTTCAAAAAGAACGCGCTGCCAGAGGCATCTTCGAGTTTGGCGATAGCAGAGACATTTTCGAGCAGGAACAAATGCATGACATAAGAGTCGAGACGTTGTTTTGGGTCGGTTTCGTTAGCCCGTATCTGCTCAAGGTGGCGTAGAGTGATGTCGCGACGGTATTGAGCAGATGAGGGATATGGTCCAGGCAGGCATAGAGACCCATCGCGGCTACGTGATGCGTGATTTTCGAAGACGATGGGGCCAACCGAGCAGCCATGTTCAGATATACGCAGGCACCCGATGGAAGGGAATGGATGGTGAGAAAGCTCGATGACGATATCAGCGTACTGCTCCAGAATCTTTCGTTTCTGAAACGGTCGAAGTTCGGGGAAGTAGAATGGATGCCCCTTCATCTTGTCCATCAGGATGTAAGGCACGCCAACGAGATTGTCGGCCGAGTGCACGCCAAAATCATGGACGTGCGGGACCGGGACGCGAGTTGTGGCGAGGAACCGAAGCGTGGCAACTTCGCTTTGGATAATGTGATTTTGGAGGTCTGGCGCTGGTGCCGCGACGTTGCAGCGACGGATGCGGCACATCCAGGTGGCTCCGTCGGCGAAGGAGATGGGAATGTGGTAGTTCGTGCCTCCCATGATGTCGCTTATGGTGGCTTTGTCGTATCGTAGGTGCGGTGTCGTGCAAGACATGCCGCCTCGTAAAGAGGATGCGCGAGCCCGAAGAGCTTCAACATTGAGCTGGGCAAGGAGGCGCTCGACTTCTTGTCTTCGTGCGCGGTCGTTCGCGGCCTTCCAAACAGGCTCGTCCGTCTAAGGAAAAATGGAGTATGTCAGAGCCTGTTCAGGATAGATGTGGATAACACTGACCTCCCAATCAGGACATTGGTGGAAAGTTGGCGCCAGGTGTACCGCGCACAGATGTCGACTGCAAAGCTTGCAATCAGCTCCGCGTACGCCCGGGTTTCCACAACCCTTCGCTGAGCAGCTGAGCAGGTGCATAAGGCCTGGGGCAAGGTAGTGTGGCGTTGCAAGAGGGTCGGTGTCGTTATGAAGTACCTTGACCCTATGGGCGCAACCAGCGCTACATATCAATGATTTGGCAGACAGTTACAGATGTTCTGATTGTTTGACGACCACCCTAGAATTGAGACACGTAGAGAAAAGTCTGGGAGGATCAACATACCCAATCAAGGTCATAAGTTCCGAATGAACAAACACCGAGGCTGGCTGTACGAAGATTTCTGACCATCCTTTCGCGCTGGGGCAATCCAAGGCGTGCAGCGGCATATGTACGTTAGGTACAGAGCACGGGCAGCCGTATGCGGAAACACTAACCTACTCAGGATACATCTCGTTGTTTGCCGTGAAGAAGACACTGATCATGCGTAAGAGATGGACGCAATCCATCCCTATCTGCATCAGCTATGATCAGCTCGCAAAGATCCGCAAATCCTACAACACCGATGGTACGAAAGGTGAGTACGTCGCATAGCGATGAGCAGAATGCTTGAAGTACAGACCGTCATCATGCTGAACTCTTCTACAAGGGGTGATTGATGAAAGTGCCGATGCCGTTCACAACTCGTGGTGATTATAGCGTCGCGAGCACAGTCCACCACGAGATATGTATACGCTGCACTGCAAAGGCTGCAACCGTTACAAGTTGAAGGGCAGTGATGCATTTACTTTGCCTGGCTTCGACGAACGATGATGTCTGCTTGAATGTCAATGAACGTACTCATTAGTCTATCGTGTAGCAGAAAACGCATACCGGCGAAACGTACATCAGGATGTGTGCACATCTCTACGGTATCGTCTACGAACACTCACAACTCAGCACAGGTTCTAGCGACGTACCCCATGATACCGACGTTCAGTAGCGAGACCTGCGTCTGTTACCACGAGCGGCTCGAACCTAGTCTCCGTGGCTGACCTCGGTACGGAAGACAATCGTTCCGTACTAGAGGCTCGAACCCTCTTACTGCAACGAAGGCTCTGTCTTCCAAGCAGTGATGTCAAGAGTTTGTCGGAAGTTGCACGAACTGTGCTAGATGTTCGGAGGTCTTGCAGTCTGATCGGGAAAGCCAGTTGTGTCATCGGAGGTTTTGGATGCGGGACTGCACTGTGGCACTACGTACTGCTGTATGCCAACTGTGTATACCCTCCGATAGCCTTGCTCCGCATATAAATGCAAGCGCTACATTGCTATTCATTACCCAAGAAGAATCCGCGATTAGCGTTTACAGGTGAAAAATTCGGCATACTCGAGAACACTGACCAAATGACGCTGAGAATCCTGCGAGAAACATGTCACTGTTTCTCCGAATTCCGAGCGAGCCGCGACGGTGACAGTGTACGTCCGGAAGCGTCTGAAGAGCACGAAGACGGGGCCATGAGAGGAATGGAAAACTCGTACCAGAACAAGCGGCGCAGTGGCTGCATCGCCGCCAAAAATGTGGCGTCCACAGCCAAAATGCGCAGGCGCTAACAACACGTGGCCCCCCGAGTTACCCGTTTCGGCAACATTTCTCACGGGCAAAGTGGTCAGATTCTGTGGACTTTGGGAAAGTCGAACGAGTTTCGGGCGGTCGTCGTCTCATACATCTTTGTCCACAACCACGACCATGGACACTCCTCCCGACTCGTCGACCAGCTCGTCCGCGAGCTCCCCATCGCCCCTTCTAGAGCCGTCTGTAAAGGCCGAGCTCACTTTCGACGACATGACCTTCACGGATAACCGCACAGACCCCCTTGAATTTCTGCTGCAGACGCTCTCCGGTGAACCCGCAGACTCGACATCTCCTCAGGACACCCACTCGCAAGAATGGTCGCAGATGGCCTCTTGGGACACCTCCGACAACAAGTTCACTCTGGGCTCCGACTTCGACTTCAGCATACCCATGGAACTTGATTTCCAATCTAATATGGCAGTAGACCCGAGCGCGCTGCACTTCAACCCCTCCATGTTTACTCACCAAGCATCTGTGGCCCAGTCCGAACACCTTTTCAACGCACATACGAACGCCCAGTTCCCGACCGCGCCGAACTTCCCGTTCGATCCCCAGAACGGTACATGGACGGAGACTTCCACTCAACGGCGCCTCAGCATTACCTCCGCTTCCTCGTCCTCGGGGGCGTCGCTCTCCCCCATTCCGGAGCACAGTTCGGCCATCAGTAGTTCTGCGAGCGACAGTGGTTACAGCGAGGGTGACTCCGCGAGTGAGCTTGCGCATCGCGTGCGGCAAATGGCTGGGGTCACCCTTGCAGTACCTGTGAGTGCACAGGTGCAGCAGCTCGCGGCAGCAGGTAAGAGAGCCCGTTACATGCGTGCACATCATCATGCTGAGATAATGGACTTCGCGCAGGCGGTCAAGCGAAGCTCCCCATCCCACGGCTACCTCGTCCGACTTCTACGCCCATCAAGCGCGCCCCTTCCAAAGCTTCTTCGCCTGAAGCGGGATTCAGTTCCTCTGCTTCAGCATCTCCGTCTGCGGAATGCTCGGATCCTATTGCTGAGGCTGGTCAGGCCACCGACATATCTCAACCTGCACTCACCGCCAGTGGTCGACCCAAGACAAGTCATACAACCATCGAGCGACGGTACCGTACGAACCTCAATGCACGTATCACGGGATTGAAGCAAGCTGTTCCTGCCCTGCGTGTCCTCGAGAAGAATGGTAGCTCATACGGCGATGCTGTGGATACGCGTGGTTTTGTGGACGGAGTGAAGGTCGCGAGGAAGATGAGCAAGGCGAATGTTTTGGGCAAAGCTACAGAGTACATCAAGTATGTGGTTCTTTCTGTCAATCAATGCTCTCATGCTGACGATCATGCTGCAGGGTATTGAAGCGGAGAGAAGCTCGTCTTACTCGCGAGCAAGACGGTCTCAAGTCTCTCATTGCTGGACTGGTCGGCGGACCCGCTTTACTAAAGGAGTGGGAGCGTGAGTGGAGGGAGAAGTTCGGCGGTTCAGAGAAAGATGAGCTCGAAGATGGTATGGGGTCTGCAGCGGCCAGTGATGATGAGGATGGAGATGGAGAGGATAGCGACGAGGAGGGGGACGACGGCCGGGCGAAGAAGAAAGCGAAGGTGGTGAAGCCGCCAAAGAAGGAGAAGATCGTCAGAAGCCTTCCTGCACCAACCGTTCCTGCAGCACCAGGTGCCGTACCGGAGAAGCGCAAGCGTGGTCGC